ACTCATCATCTTGGTTAAAAAGATGAATTTGATTACTAATTCTTTGCATTTCATGACTTTAATATTTTGTTTTACTAGCTCCAAATAAAAACAGAAAGGTTCTGCAATATAAATTATAGATACTTTTTTTTAGAAATAAATAAAAAGAATATTGGATAATTAATATATTTAAAAAATAACTTTAGTTTAAATTTTAATAATGTAGAATATCACTTGAAGAATTTACTCTGATGAAGTCTAGATTTTCTTTCACATTAAATTTAAATTTGTTAAATTGACATAATAACGAGAATACTGATATACATAATATAAAATACTAAATCATACAATAAGCAAAAAAAATTTTTAATAAAAAATACAAAAAAGTATATAATTTTATCTTTCGTCTAGCTTGATCGATCATAGTATTAGTGTTGGTTAGTAGAATAAGATATATCGAGATCAGCTTGACATTGTGTGTGAAGTCTCAACTGTTAAAATCTGCATTCTTTTAATTGTTTCTTGGAAAAATAATTAGTGAAGATACCAGATGATGTTTGAAATGTTGGGTATACTCGAGTATTAACAATATTAAACAGAATCTTGAGTTTTATGAGAGTAAATAATGAGAGTAAATAATTCATCATGTATAATTATATGCAGATAATTTGTCCTAATCTGTTCACGAATGGCTGAATCTTTATTTTATTTAGTAAAGTTTATTCAAGTATAACGATATAATATTTTATAACAGCTTCACAGCAATAAAATCTAATTGTACTTAATATTCGACAAGTTGTAAATAATTCATATTTGATATGAACTTACTTTTATGTAAATTAATTTTTTAAAAAGTCTTATGTATAATTATGTATAATTATGTATACATAATTATACAAGACAAAATAATTAATTCACATGTATTTCTAAATTCTAACTTATAAATTGTTATAATTAAAAAAATATATATATCTATAACTATTTACCTATAAAATTTTAGTTTCATCTATTAAAAACAGTATAATTTGTACATAATTATAACTGGACCTAATTGGACATGATTGATTTGAAATTTTTTTTCAAATTAATTCTGCATAAATCAACGAGTATTAATATTACATGAAGCTAATTTTTATTTTAAGGAGTGGAGCAATAAATATTCGAATAAACTTCGGAAACTAATT